ATTAATATATGGGCCAGAGGCAGGTACACTCAAAATTTCTTTAGGAATTTTCTAGTTGTTGCTACTGTTGTTGCTGTGCACTTTTGTTTCTGTCTATGTGCCATTGAACTGAATTAAATTTAGGTCGTAAGTAGGAACCAATGGGTTTGGAGCTGAGATCCACAGACAGGGAAGGGGAGTCGGTATTGAGGAATGTTCATATTGTTGGTTTGGGTCTTTTCATGGGATTTGTTGACTATAATATCGCCAGCCTTATCCTTAAAAATGTCTGCACACTGATTTTTAAAAAGGGAAGTTAAGTCATCTTGCCACATGACATGCTTAAAAAATAATCAAAGATAAAAACATTCAGATTAGGTAGGTTAAACTGTGTATTTTTATCTGTGTCTTTATGCAGTGAGTTGCATGTGGACATACAGATGACATGGAGGCCATTCCTGAGGACAGACTTAGGTTAGACGTGGAGCTGCCCGTGTTTCTTCTCCAGCCTAGGTTGGTCTCAAAAGTGTTGTCACTGTCCATCTGATATTATTAAAAAAAATCAGTTATAGAAGAAGAAAAAAATTTGTCATAACAGCGAATCAATTGTTGATCTATTATGTGAGAAGTCAAGTTGGTAGCTGTATCAGGTCACCAGCTGCAGTGCAGATGTTGAACACTGGATATTTTGTTTGTGAGTTCAATGTACAAGAGTCAGTTAAGAGCAATTTACCTCGTCCTGCTGAAGAACAGGCACAGACACACTTGTTTTCATCTGCTTTGAGTTGGAGAGAGGGAAGGCTGATGGTTTAGGAGAGACTGAAAGAAAGATATGATTTAAATCTCTTAAAGTTGCTATATAATGAGTATTTCTGTATTGAAAGGATATGCTGATTTAAAGAGCAAAACACGTCTTTACCGTCATCCACACTTTGATTAATTTGTTCTCTTGAGGTATTTTGGGTCCTCTCTTCTCCTAAAAAGAAATAGGGCCATGAGAGTATTATTTACATACCACTCCCGACATTTTATCAAGTAACTTGAAATAATTACGGAAGCCCTGAGAGCAAGTCTGAAATTACTTTCCTGTGTGTGTGTGTGTGTGTGTGTGTGTTGTGCCAGGATAGTTCCTTAATCTTTTTAAATCTGACAGTTGAAGAAAAGTAAGTTTTTCCAGGATCTTAGGGGTCAAACCCTCAAAGTGTTTGTTATACTATTTTTGGCCACAAGAGGCTGAAGTGCACCACTACCCCATGTTCTAAATCCAGGTGACTTTGAATTCCTCCATGCACTCTTAAATTATGTTATATAAGTACAAAGAACAGTATACATTCTGTACCTTGTGTGAAATAAACCCTTTTGGTGCATCTCAGGGTTTTGTGGCCAAAATGAGTATTAATACTTTCACTTTTCACAGAAGAAAAAAAAAAGCAACTGATCCTTTCACCCGTACTCAAACTATAAACAACATGTTTTTTTTCTCACTTGCCTCTCTCAGGGTTTCCATAACTAATGCACTGGCAATACAATAAAGCTTTATGGCCATCAGCTGTGTTAAAGAAGAACAGTATCAGAAGATTTAAAAGTTGTGTTACTTGTTTGTGAGTTGAGGTTTTCCAGACTTTTAGATGAGGACCTGCTCTTCGAGGACAGTCGTTTCAGAGCTGACATTACAGGACTAGAAATCTCATTATAACCTGCCACAAATGAAACAAAATCAGCTCTGGAAAACGCAGATGTTACATTTACGATTTACTAAGCAACCATGTAAAACTGTTTATTTTTAATAGAAAACAAGTAGAACGTTTATTTAGTCAAACATTTCAGTTAAGTATAATGCTTAGTAAATCAGTTTAGGGTGTAAAAAATATCATCATAGTAAACAGTACATGGCCCTACAGTGTTTTCAGTTTATTGTGATACATTACCAGGAATTGTATTGTAGTAATAAGCTGCTTCTTACAAACCACATATCTACTGCAGCAGCAGCTCCTTAATCACAAGACGCTGCTCTACTAAAAGCATTTAACGAAGAACTAAATTGTTTTCTACTGGCTAACGGGCAGCTAACATCCAAACATTTGTACAATTTTGAATTGATACACTTGAAGAGGAAATACAAAAGGAAAAACTTTAAACACAGCTGCACAGAATTACAGTAAAACGAATTGATGAATTATTAGGGCAAGTATATCAACTCTGTCAAATCAGACCTACTGTAATGTTAATGTGTTAACTTATTTGTTTCAAGACAATATCACTGTATTTTCTATTTATCAATCATTATCTCGAAGAAATATAAATGGAGAGAGAATTCAAATGCTCACTGCTTGAACTTGCCCGAGACAGAGACCATGCCCTAGTCGTTGTGCCTTGGCTGCAGTTTCCATCTTTATTTTGCACAATCCAAGAATTGATCCTAGGAGGAGTCCCCTCACTTGGACTGTCACTCTGGTTTCCCACAAAGTCTTTGAGGGCATTTTGTGGTCTGTGTACCACATTACTGTCTGCAGCAGCAGCAGCAGCAGAAGCAGCTTTCTCTTGGTGAAAAGAAGGAACATGGGCCTTCTCCTGTGGCCCAATGTAGTGCTGATAATCCTGAGGGATGAAAGATCTGGCAAGACGTGTAAAGGTAGCTAACTTCTCTGAGGCTTTTTTGGATTTTGAAGTAGAGGAGCTTGAGCTACTTTGTTGTGTATTCACATTACCAGAAGAAGTCCCACTGTCTTCTGGACAAGAAGTGATGTCTGCGCAAGGTTTAGTGTCTGTCGACACAGCCGGCTTTACTTCATTAGAGGGACTCTTCCTCTGTCTTGGCACTGGTGTCGGCTTCCCTTGATGCACATCAGCAACCTTAGTTTGGGGGTCAATATTTATTAGAAAGGTTCTCAAGGGAGAGCCTTCCAGCCTGGATCTTGTAGGACTGGAGGATTCTAGGACCCTTGGGTGGCAGGTCTTGGATGGACTCCTCCTGACTTCATCATCCAGGTCTTTTGATCTTGGAGTTGGGGATTTACTAGGACTGAGGGGCCTTTCTTGAGCTTCTGTATCAGCCTTGACTTGGTATAGGTGACATGTTGAGTGTACATCCCCATTACTACCAGAACTCCTCAGCTGTAACCCGTCTGGGCTGACAAAACCCTTGTCTGTCACAATTAATGATTTTGAGACAACATTCGACTTGGTTTTGTATGGAGACGTTTCTACTTCTGCTTCAGACTTCCCGCTGCTATCCAAGGATGTTCTCAGATCAGACTCAGCGGAAACCACTTTGTTACTGAGTACTGAACTGCTTGAGCTTTCCTTGACTGTTTCAGCGATTACCCTGGGTGCTTTATACTCCTTCTCCCAGAGATTCTTAGGCTGACTGATCTCGGCTGGCTTGTCTTCAAGACTGTAACAAGATTTCCTGGGAAGGGGAACTATAATATCCCCCTCTTGATTTGGGGTGTTGAAGGCTACAGAGGAAGGTACAGGAGTATTTTCCTTTGGCTCAGAAATCTGTGACTCTGTTACTGAACCAGTTAAAGAGTCATCTGTCTCTTCATAGATGAGGACTGGATTTGCTCTGTATGTGCCATCTTCTTTAGATAAATCTACTAACAGACTACTGTTAGTCAGTGATGACAAACTCTTTTCTTGGACTATTCCAGCAGTATCCTCAACTGTCAGTTCCATTTGAGACAAAAGATTGTTGTTTATGCTTTCCACATCTGAGTTAGTCTGAGGGCTATGCAAAGCTTCTATTTCTGTCTTGGTGATGTCTTTGTGCCTTGCCTCTTCTCTGGTAAATATTATTTTGGGACCACTGTTTTCTCTCTTCCAGAAAGCTTTCAGATTGGATAGCTTTTCTGGAAGCTGAACAACCCTGCCTTCTGTTGTCTCTTGCTGACTGTCTGCATCTACTGAGGTTTCTGTTTCTTCAAATGGAGTGTTTTGCAGTGCTGTAAGTTGTACTGTTCTGACCGCTGTCATCTCAGAGGATTTAGCTTCTGTTGTGACACTTGCAGGTTTGTCCACAGTGGTATCTGCAGCACCTTGGGAGAGATTCTGGGTGTTGCCAGATTCTTTCTGCTTAGATATCGTCACCTCTTCTTTCTCTGGACTCTGTACCTCGGTAGTTTTATCTTTTTCTCTACTAAAAATTCCAAGCAGCCTTTGTCTGGGCTTTGGTGAAACAGCATGAGATGAACCCTTTGAACTGCAACTAGTTGACAGCTTGGTATCTGAGGTAACCTCAACAGAATTGTCCTGCTGAGTGCTCTGTTCAGGCAGCTTTTGGTGAATATTGTGTCCAGTTTGCCAGTCTGTGGCCTTAGCCTGAGAGTCACAGTCCTCTTCAGGCACTGTCTCCAGGTGAACATGCTTACCTGACTCCTGTTCAGCAGAAATTAGTCCAGACACTGAGGGGCTTAGGAACTCCGAATGACAATGCTCAGATACATCTGCAAAGACAGTAAGCACCAATTGGATCACTCATGTACATTATATCTGCTAACAACTGCACAGAATAATTAGTTAGCTTTTCTTGGTGTATTACTATTAAATGAAGGAGGGCACTTCATTTTAAAAGTCACTATGTAAATGATTTGAAAAAGGTACTTGTCAGTGGTAGTATAAAAAAGACAGTGGCACACAAAAATACACATACTAGCAGATCTGCCTGGCACTGAAAAGAAATAGCTCCAACAAATAGAAATTGCCCCTACAGCCAATGTCCCCTTTTGAGGAAAAGATAACTATTTCACCAAAGCTTTCACCGTGTGATCTCACATAGGGTACACAGATTTTGAATTATCACTCTCAGCGAGGTAAATGGCTAAAAGCTGCTTGAGACAGTTATTACTGATGGATAAAGTAAGCTTGACAGTTGGCATCAGTAAGCTAAACTTGTCTACCAGATAATGAACTCCAATTGTAGACCAAATACAATTTGCAGTATATTAAGGCTGTACCTTAGCACCCCACTCAAATACTTTGGTATTAGCAATGCCAAACTTCATTTCACAGTAATATAATAAACCAATGAAAGTCCAACACATGGCATGAGACATTAATGGAAAAGTGTGACAAATATTGATTGACATGTTATGAATGTATGAATGAAACTTTTCAGAATCATGTGACAGATTACCCATAATGCCAAAGAAAAGTACAGTAAAATCCAATACAATAAAAAAAATTCTTGCTATTCTTATCCACCAGTCTTACATGCACACATTTTATTGCACGCAAGAACATGCACAAGCAGGATTAATGTGGACAATTTTTTGTGTTTATGCTTGCATGCATGTTGATCAATGAATATATTGAAGACAATGTTGGTTAGTTGGACTTAGTGATTGGCTGTTTAGTTGACACACTGGTTTTAAATAAAACGCTTACCACCAAGGACCTGGTGTTGACCAACTTGTTGTTCTTGGAGGTTTGCCTCATTTTTGCAACTGAGTTCATGAGAATCCAGTGGACTGAGTAAAGGCCTATTTGTGCTAACAGTGACACTGACGGTATTCTCAAGGTCACTATTATTTTCCATCTCAGAGAGAGCGATGGAGTCGAAGTCCAACAAACTGTGCTCTCCCAGCTCCTTCCCATCCTGCCACTCCACTGTGCTCAGACTGACCATTGAGCTGAATCTCACCTGCTTCCTGTCTAGCCAGGTCTCAGTGGGAGAATGCAGGCTAACTGGACTCTGTGGATCCAAGTGAGAGATCAGGGAGTCGGAGGAGCTAGAATTAAACAAGTGCTTGAGGATGCCACGCGGAGCAGCAAAGTTAGCCTGTCTACCTCCTGACACGTCTACCTCAGTAAAAGAGTTTTCAGGCAGTGGCAGGGGAACAGATGCATTCTGGCTGACTGGGCTATCATTAGGGTCTTGTTTAAGGTTGCTAGCAAAAGAAATGCAGCTGTCAGATGATGGTAAAGGCCCTGAAAGAAACAAAAACAAATGAAAACCATTTAACCAACAACACATAAGCTGTGTGTTTTTGTCTTGAAGGCAACTCTGGGGTCCCAGTTCCTATATTATAAGACTTCAGTCTTCAATCAGTGGTGGAAAGTCTAGTCTAGCTGTGGTTCCTTGTCATGTTTCAGATGACTGAGTTGGATGATCCGCTCTACCTCTGAGCCATAGTTGCCCCCCCTGTTATTTAGCATGACTTAGGCAGATGACTGGTTGGCTAACCATAGCTTGTTTGGTCGCTTACAAAATACTACCTGAGTGGATATGTTAGTTGGCTAACGTCGGCTTGCAAAAAAATGACTTCACCAGCTCATGTGATCCATCATACTAACTTGTGTATTATAACAAACAGTGTTGATTTTAGCCAATAATAAATTATGTAATGTACAAAGCGATTGCTTTCTACTAGCCAAGAGCTATGCGAGGCTAGCTAACTGTAGCTAAGCTAAACTGTGGTTGGCCGTTGACTGTGTCTTGGCTGCGTGGTGTGGGTCTGACGTTGGTTGCTTCGTGGTGTTGGCTGATGGGGTGATTTGTAAACAGCAAGCTAGAAGCATGGAGTCAGTGGTCCAAATAAAATACAGGAACATTGCAAATAGTTATTCTAAATATGTGTAATGGATTTTCCAGACTTCAGTCTAGTGTATGTCATGTTTGGCTGATACCCAGGATGTGTATGGAGTTGCAGTTCACTTAACTGCCACCGTTTTTCAAGTTTTCAAGATCTACACATTTCAAGAGCTTGTTTTGTACAACATGCACATTGGTTGATGTACATACATAACTGTTACAGTCTTCAGTATGGATTATTAGGTAACCAATTGACCTATATGTGATTTGTGATTATAATTTCTCCCACAGAAACATTGTTTTCACAGCTCAGTGAAATATTTCCAGCAGCCACAAGTCATGCAGTACAGATTAAGGCTTTGGAATGTATTTCTGTGTAATTCTCTGGTTCGTCTGGCAGCCTTTTTTATTTGGACTTCCATTCACTACAACCCTTGGGAAAATCCGAGCTCTCTGGCTCATTTCACAGTGACTGGAAGAGAACACACTTAAATATTAAAACTTCAGCTGTGGAACTTTGATTCAATTAAAGCATTGTCTCTCTTATTTGACCTTAAGAATGTAGTTCTTGAGGTATTAAATATATTTAAACAAGCACTGTTAATCAACCAAGGACCTGTGTGGAATTGTAATTTGGCACGTTTTCTGTAACACTGTGTAAAAATGCCTTCTCTGGAATTGCGACAAAAACAAAAATGAACTAAAATCAGATAACAAAATTGTTTGAAATGGCAAGCCAGTACATGCTCCCCACTGCCATGCAACCAATGTTCATGCACACATGTTGTTAAAAGGAAATGCTGAAATAGCTGAAGCGATAAGGACCCACACACCTGGATGTCTGAGTGACTGCTAGAATTAGACTTACATGGGTTTGTAACGCAACTGCTTTCACAATTTGTCCATTGAGCAGTCCACTCAGTTTGAAACATAACACATGATATATCATTAAATCACAATGGATCCACTTACAGTCATAATACATATTTAAAATAGCAAAACCGATGTTCCTATAAAGACGCACCCTCATTTGGTGTCCGGGATTGATCCACTGCCCCGTGTAATAACCGACTGTACTTCCCTTGACTTGCAGGGTCCTCGCTGTTGAATGGATTTTTTCTTTGCTTCAACACAATAAAATAGATACATATAACACTTGCAACACACAGAAGCGTGGACTCTCGCTCAGTTTTTAAATGATTTTGTTTTCCATACAGGATCCTACCTTTGTTGGTGAAACTGGTTTAGGTGTATCTTGTGGTGTTTCAAAAGGGTTCTGGTATTGATAACTGTTAGAATAAACAGATTACAAGATGAATTGACAATTTCTGAAAATTGGCTGTGCAACTTCACAATAAAATTATTTAATCTTGATTTGGAAAATCTACATGCTCATGTAAGTGCATTACACTCCCTTCTATACAATTAACACCATTTGGTCAATGGGCAGTAAAATAATCTCATTACCCAAACACTGCCTGTTGTTTTTGTCACAGCAAATCATGCAATTGTGCAAGGTGCAACAAAACTTCAACAAAAATGTTTCAGGGCAAATAATCAGTTATATAGATAAATAGGGTACACTTAGATATCACCATGAAACTTCCCCAACTTACTTAAATTAAGAAATGTTTTTGTATTACAAGATTTCTGAAATTTTATGTTTAAATATGCAAATGCATGCATTAATTAAATTAAATTAAAAATGTGCTTATTTGCACACATTCCCAGAACAGAAATCTTAATAGGCCAGGTTCAAAATTATTTCATTTTGTTGACATATTAGACTCAAATGCTATTTTGAATATTCTATTTGAATATTTGTATCACTCCATAAATCAGATGATACTGTCAACAGCCATAAGACAGGAATAATATGTAATATAAATCAGGCTATGAATGATATATGAACAAACCCCTCTGTGAAAACCTTCAGAATATAGATAGGAATAAAACTGGAAGGTTTGCTGTGGGTAAGGGCTACTGAAACAGCCTTAAAAGAAAGAAAAACATTTATGTGTAAGGGTTCACCCCTCAGGAACAGTGGAAAACATGACCATGTGACACCTGACCTTGTAAGACGATTACTGAGAAATCTGGGGCCAATTACTAAGTATCCATTTACTGCTTTCACAACTCCACTCACTAGCAATCACACCCAAATAATCTACTCTACTAGTGCAGCATGTGACAGTACTTATAACAGACTAAACAGGCCATATGTTTTGTTCATACTATGTGAAGTTACTGTTTTCTAAATGTGTACAGCATTTTTGTACACATTAAAGTATTACTTAAAGCTGCAGCAGGCAGGAGTTTTCTTTAAACATTAACTTGTTTTACATGAACCAAAACAGAGTTATAAACTTGCTAACAATGGCTGAAGTGCCACAACAAAAGGCAATGTATAAAGACCATTGGGTAAAATCTTTCAATTTACAATCTGTCTGTTATTCTACTCTTCAGTTTAAAGGATAAGTCTGGTGATAGGTCTCTTTTTGTCAACAGACATTTCCCCTTTAAACATCTTACATGTTGTCATTTTAATTACTTTGTTCTTCTTTCGTCTCCCATTAAAGCTGCAGTAGGTTTTTTTTTTTTAAACAAATAACTTACATAAATAAAAAATAACTAAAAATCAGGTTCGTCTGACTCCTCCTAGTGCTCCTAATGAACAAAAACAACCAATCAGAGCCAAGAAAGAGAGTTGACTGTTCCCAGGCCAGGGGATTCACAGGTAAAGGATATAGTGAAAGTTTAAGCAAATGACAAAAAGTTATTTTTATAACAGTTACCTACTACAGCTCTAAATACAGTACTTGAGTAAATGTACTTACATTCCAAACTAATAACTGATAAACAATTGACTTCCACTTGCAGCCTACTTTCTGCTTTGGTTCTCTAAACTCACCTTTCATTGCTGAGCTGCATGTGAGGCTCCTGAAGGACTCCGCACAGAACAGCGGGGACGAACACTTCTTTATTCTCACTGCTGACAAAACTGGGCTTCTCAGGCAGTATCTGGGAGAGCTCCACTAAAGCACACAGACACAGCTACTGTCATTACAGCATAGACAGCTTATAATTACCTCATGGGGTGTTGTAAAACAACCCAGATGTATTTATACGTCTCCCTCCTGACCAGTAGAAAAGATCATCCAGCTATCTTGGAAGTTTTAGAGGCAACTAATCGTCTAATCTTCTGTTTCAGGTAGGTGCTTACTCTACTTTGTTATTGTAATATTTATTCCAATATAAATAGGGCATAAACATATATTTAAAAAAATACAATAGTGCTGATTTCCGTTAAGCTGAACCCCTGCACAGCCTCTGCTCATTCATGTACAATGAAGTCCTTGTAACCCTGTTATTTTGCTTGCACTGACCTTTTTGTCTAGCATTTCCTTTGTTGACCTTGAGGATTATCACAGCCTCGTGAAACTTAATGACATGAGGAATCACTTTTGACACATTTTGTTGGGTTCAAGAGAATGGGGTCTTTTGGAGTCACATGACGGAAGAACTGCAGTGTGAGTTGTACAAAAAAAACCCAGATGTAGAGGGCGAGTGCCACCTGAGTAGCAGAATTTAACTGGGAGCTTCCTGGGCCGACCCACTGCACAACTGTGGTGTTATCTACTGAGATACTAGTCCATTCACTTGAGAGTATCCCAGTTAGAGAGACTGAACACACACTAAACACTGCTTTCAGATCATTCGGGACTGTTACAATATAGATTCAAACAGAAAATATTCTATGGGATAAAATTAGTAATCCCTAGGGACTAAATACTAAACATAGTATGATACAGAAATGGCTGTATCTGGAAAACTACAAGGAGAGCTATCAAATGATTGACCTACACTGTGCACAATGATGTATTTGACACAAACATTTGAATTGAGGGAGAAGGATTTTAAGAACTTGTATTAAGGTAGGTGAACTGAAAAAATATCTGGAGGGGATCTTGAACCAAGACCACCCTAGTTTGTGCCAAATGCTGTTAATTGAATAATCTGTTAATGGCCACATTTTAGATTTTGGGGTGAACTGTCCCTTTGAGGGATCACACTCATTTTAAAAATAGAAAAAGACAATAGCAATGCAGTATATAGTAGACTCACGTATAGTCAGTGGTTTATGTGTGTGTCTCATGGAGGCCCTGATGATGTCGGAGCCGTGGATGCGGTCCTGATGGCGAAGCTGCTTGGTCTCGTAGAACCATTCGCCAGTCATGTACCTCAGCTGGCCCCTGTCACTTGCAGTCTTGTGTAGGTTCCTGAATGCAGACACACAAATGGGAAATGTATATGCACTTCTCTATTATTCAAAACATTAAAGCTGCAGTAGGTAACCTTTATAGAAATAGATTTGTCATTTTGTCATATTCGTGGAAACTTTCACTATATCCTGACAGTAGGACATGAGACAGATAATCTCTG